TGTAGGGAAGTCATCTGAATTTTGCCCTGACCAAAGGCTTGGCTGTGATGTGGAGCAAGGGAGGAACTCCTGCCCAATATGAGCCACGTCTCCAGAAGCCAGCAGAGGAGCTATTGAAATTAGAACCCCAGCCCCAAGAAGAAGGGCCTCTGGTGGTCTCAGACCCAAACCACTGCCTGGATGAGCAGTCTGACTGAATTAACCCGGGCCTAAGAGCTGGTCCAGACCCAAAAGCAGCAGCACCGCCATACAGAGGGGGCTCAAGGGCTTTCGTACCTTCATGTTAAATTTGAAGGCTCGGTTGGCCTCTTCCACAATCCTTTCCTTGGTGTTCTTGTCCAAGTCCAGAGCATTCATCCTTGCTCTGTAGAGCTGCTTGAACTGCTGCGCATTGGAAATGTTGTCAAACACGTAGAATTGGACCCCTTCCTCAGTGCTGGGCAACTTCAGGGCCCTCTGGGCCACCTTCTTCAGCACTTGGCCACCTGAGAGGTCGCCCATGTAGCGTGTGTAAGCGTGAGCCACCAGCAGCTCTGGCTCATGTTGTCCCACATGATGAATTCTGTCCACATAGTGCTCAGTTGCCTCTGAACACTGGATCTTCTCTTTCCAGTCTTCTCCATAGAAGTATTTCAGGTCTTTGACCAATGCTTCTCTCCGGTGAAGCTCTACGGGGAAATACAGAGGAGCAAAGACTGGGTTGTCCTTGTTGCGATCCATTTCCTCTTCCAGAGCAGAGTATGTGAAGTAAAGTGCCACGGTGGCCAGCTACGGACAAAGAACGGTTAATGTGAGAAGCGCTTCACTAGAGATCAGCACATCACACCTTGCAACTCTTCCCCCTAATCAAACTCGTGCTGGGCCAGCATACTCCTCACCCCGCTGGCTCCCAGCTGAAGGATACACCAGGCAGGACAAGTTTTGACTACTCAGCCTGGATCACCCCCTCCATCCCCTACACGCAGGGCTGTGGGGTTCTGCTGCAGAGTTGCTGGGTATGCCAAGAGCTTCTCTGCCATGGAAGCAGAGCAGCACTCACCTTGAAGAGCTTCTTCTTGATCCGTCCTTTCAGAAAGTCTTTGACAAACTGAGTGTTCTCTGCACGGTCATGGGATTCCTTAGTCCCCTCCTTCAGCAGCTCGGACAGGTCGGTGGGACTGCAGGCAAACAGGGAGAGCTACTTTCACCCTACTCCCACACACAGGAATGAGTTTGTCCCCACTTTGTTTGGAGGGATCACCCCTACTCCCTACTGTCTCGGAACCAGCTGGGAGAAGGTACGAGGTGGGATCCCACAGGCTGCCACCACCAGGAGGAAGCAGCAGGGTGGTGGCAGCAGCCAGAGGCTCCTTTCACAGCTGCCGGCACCCACGTGCCAACGAGATGTGCTGTTCTGGGAGGGCTGGAGCTCACCAGGGGCTCAGGCCTGAGATGCCAAAGTAATTACCAAGGATCTCTTGATCCCTGCGCTGTTACTTCTGCTTCTCATCTAAGTAAGCCCCAAAAATACTACAAAAGAAAGCCTCAAGCATATGAAGAGCAACTCCTGGGGCAGGCTAAAGGAGCCTTGGTGCTATCCTCCTTGGTCTCTCTGGAGGAGGAGAAAGGCTCAGGTAAGAGCAGATACATACACAGGCAGGACTCTAGTTTTTCTGACTTGAGTAGCAACTGCAGAAGAGGGTCTAATGGCTAAACAGAGTAAGAACACCCTTAAGAAATTTATGTATCCTGGATCACATTGCCGTTACAGTTTTCTACAAGTTGTCTTTCTTAAAAAGATAAATAAATAATGATCTATGATTTTAGGTTACAGCCACTGCACCGCCCTGGAGTTTGGTACAGAGACATCAGCATGTACACTCACTCAACACTGCCAAAGTGCACCCTACAGTTTTTATGACTAATTTTCTACAGAGAGCATGTTCGTATTAGCTGTAAGAGGCAGACTTTGAACACTCCAGACACACTGAATGGCTGAACACTGCAGCCAACAGCGGATGTGCTGACAGAGCCAGGTAGCACCAACTTCTCCTCAAAGCGAGCCTGTCAAGTCAAAGACAAGTCAGCCAGCCTATTGAGGTGTTCTGGGAAGTGCCCTATTCACCCTTCCCATTTTCCAAGTCTGAAGGCTCAGCTTTTAGAGCACAGGTGTGAATTGGAACTAACCTCCAAGAAAAGATCCTCGCCTAGACCAGTGGATGTTCTGCAAAGACAAGGGAGGCAGCTCACTGGAGCAGAGGTCACCACTAGAGTCATCTTTCAAAACAAGGAGCTGCTATCACATGAGACTTGCCCAGCAAGCCCTGGAAAACTGACTCACCTTGGCACGAACACAACTGCCAAATGGTCAAAGCATTTCTGAAATGTGAGTTTGATAGCAGAGACTAAAAAAACAATTGCTCATTGTGAGCCTTAGCCAGATCTCTCCTCCCTATCCTTCCAGTACATTTTGATTAAACAGATTTTATTGCACATTTCATTAATCACCTACTGGAGTCCCTCACTTCTTTTCAGATGAGCAGAAAGATCACTCCTTTACTGGGAAGGTCTCCTGCCTTTCCCAAGACTGTGTCTGTGCCATGTTGGGAGACAGGACTCACCTGACATTGTCATCTTCTGTTTCCTCATAGCGCAAGATTTCCCCTTCCTCTCCCACCTCTGATGCCTCCATAGCAGACAGCATTGTTGTTCAGTGCTGGAGACCAGAAAATCTGAAAGGCAAAATTAGAGAGGGGTTTTAGAGGGAAGCTGCCTTAGCACGGGGATGAGTATGAAATGCTGAACAAGTAAGCCTTGCTTGTTCAGATCGGCTACCTCAGGTGAACCTCTACACCCACTTCACAAAATATTAACCTCAGAGGAGACCCACAACACACCAAGCAGCCTGCATTAGGTTTCCCATTTCAGGACGACTCCTGGCTGAAGATGATCAGAGACCTTCACAATAGCAACGTGCACCAAAATTGTGAGCAAGCTGCTTCGCACTTTCCACATTTCCACAGCAGCACTCCTCTCCTGCCTAGCAGGGCTCACTTCAAACCCCAGAACCAACTGGCTTCTCCCAGATTTGCTCTTTCGCAAAAGGAAAAAAATCTCCTTGGATGTAGCAGGATGCACAAGATTTACCCTGCAGCAGGAGCAAGACACCTGGCTTACAACAGCTGAGCACCCTTGTTAAGCCAGAAATCCAGCCACCTCATTTACAAAATGGACCTGTAATCAGCTTTGTGCGGAGCAGCCTTGGCAGACGAGAAAGGAACTAAGCTGCTTGCTGGCTCTTCGAAAAGCACTCGCGGTACGAGAGCCACCACTCACCCTTCCAGAGCACCGGAGTCCTGGAGGTAGGACGTGCTGCCTCTGCCAAGTCTGCCACTGCCACCAGTACAAAGCAGCAGGGGACAAGCAGGGCTGCGAAGAGCACTTCAGCACCATTCATCCCTCAGAAGGGCCTGAAAGCTGACATTAAATCCAACCCAAAGAACACCTCAGATCGAGCCTCAGAAACTGGTAGTTAACAGCAGCAAGGGTTCAAGGCTCGGGATGGCCAGACATACTCCTGGCTCCTGAGATCACTGCTATACAAGACACCCCCAATAACTTTCTCAGCGGAGCCCCCACAGCCACGCCTCGCGGCACGCTCGTGTTCAGCACCACTCACCACCTCGGAACTCTGCTCTCTGGGCTACGACAGTGAGCACCGAGTGGGTCTCAGAAGCCTTTACCCAAGGCTGGTCAGAACAGTGAATTATCGTTCCAGTAGCCCAGTCTGCGGAAGAAGTGGTTAGCACGCAAAAAGTCATTGAAGGACTTTGGTGCACTCTCAGACTCCTGCAGCTTTTTTTGTAGAGGCTTGGTCTGACACATTTATCTCTATAGCAATTCACAGGGCCGTGACGACACCAGTCCCTACAGCCTGAGGCAAGGACAGTACAAGCACAGGAAAACATGGAAGCAGAGATGATTTTTTTTCCAATACTGTCCTTATTATAGCCACCTCCCCATTGAGCCATGAATTGAAGAGACACGTTAGCACGAACCAAATCCTTGTCCTTTTCAGGATTAGGATATGGTGTGAGAACTGGGAGGAAGGGAAGTCAAAATCAGTGTAGCTCTCATCACCACACATCACTGCTTTTACTCAAAAACTGGCAACTGAAAGCCCACAACATGGTAACTAGTCAAAGCCTTGGTTTCTCCAGGTATTCTGCTCCTCTGAAAGAGGTAGCATCCTACACACCAAGAGCGAGGTTCAAGCAGCTGCTTACTCCACTGCAGAGGCTGGAACATCCTTTTATTTGCCTCAGTGCTCCAGATTTTGGTTCCAAATAATGGTGTTCTTGAGAAAACATCCCTATCTCATCTAGCCAGCCATTAAGTTTGCCCCTACACACATTTCCATAACAAGCTCCACACTTGATGCGCAGCCGTTCTCCTCAGGGTAGGAAGTCAATACCAACCACCCAGGCCTTTGGGAGAAAGCAGACACTGCTGCTGCAGGAAAGCAGGACTGGAAGCCTGGGCTTTGCTCAGGCACCCTTCAGAAGTTCAATAACTCAAACACCCAGGCAGCACAGAGTTCAACTAGCATGCAACTTCAGACGTATTCACCCAGGTGCAGAGCTTGCATCCTTGCTTTAGTGAGCAGCAGAGTGTGGCTGGACCTACCCAAAGCATCACTGCAGTGGAGACAAACCCCAGAGGCCCAGGTCTGGTGGCTTGAAGAATTATCACAAAGGTAACCTGGCAATCACATCAGGAGAGCATCACATCTCCTCCTCCCTCTGGAGAGAGGTTTGGCATTGGCTGCTGCTGGAAACAGAGCCTCACAGAGTAAGTTACTACATTGCCTGATCTCAAATAGGTTTAAAATATCATCTGGACACAGCTTAAGTTTAGGCAATAATTCAAGTTGAGACACTTCCAGCAGTGCCAACACAACACTACTTCTGTTCCCCAGAGCCACAGTCCAGCACCTCAACAGATTGATGGAGGAGGGAAACTCCTGGCGAGTTTGTAGCCCTTGTCCAGTTGTTCCGCACTTCAGTAAGCAGCCCTTATGTCCGGAACCTGTCTTCTCACACTGCCTAGGAAAGCAGTGCAAGGGGCAAGTCACTCAGATCTGGGTCTAGATCTAGGGGCACAAAAAGCACAGTGTGACAGACTCTGTGAATATATCAAACAGGCTTTGCTCTAGGGAGAGCCAGCGCTTGCCGTGCCTGTCCCAGCACAGACTCAGCTGTGCCTGGGACACCCCAAGCTGGGCCAGTGACAGGCACCTCCAGCTGATGGATGTAATGCAGCACTGTGTTCAAGTGCTAGGCACCATGAGGCTTGAATAAGATGCTTGTTTCACCCAACAATGAAAAAGTAGGAACAGTAAGAGGCCTCAGAGGCCTTCATCCTCCAAGCTCTTTCCAGAGCTCAGCTGGGTCAAGACGAGCCAAGTGCCCCCCACGCCGCAGGGAGAACCCGGCGCAGGACTCCTGTCCGGAAAGACTCGG